GCCTCCGTCATGTGTTCCCGCCAGCACCGCCCCGCCACCCGCTTAGGCCCCACGACCCACTTTCCACACAATGAAAAATGAAATTTTAAATCCTCCCGCGCTCGTCCGGTCGGTCGCCACGGCCTGGGCGCTCTCCGAGGTGACCGTGGACGGCCTGCTGGCGGTTCATACTCAACTCCTTGAGGTCCTCGGCGGTGTCGCGGGGGCCGCCGCGGCTAGTGCGCTCCCCCTCCGGGACCGGCGTGTGCGCGGGGTGGCGGTGCGCATGCGCAGCGACCGAGACGCGTGCCGCCCGCGTGACCACGCGACCACCGTGCGCACGGGCGTGACCGTCCGACTACAAGCAGCAGCAGCAGCAGCCACTTCGTCCCTCATCCCGGCCAGTCCCCTCGCAGCTCGCACCTGCTCCCCCCCTCTCCCCTTCCCCTGCTGCTCCTCCAGTAAAAACGCGAGACCGGCTGACCGGGGAAGGGTGACCGCCCAGCAGCAGAACTGCGCAAGAGGACGCCTATAAGGTTGCCCTTAATCGCGAACGTGTCTGAGTATGTAGAGCAATGCGGGGACAGAAAATACATGCGCAAGAGGGCTCATTGAAGGAATGTATAAGCATATACCAGGCGGCTGATTAACCCCGCGGACATCTGTAGTTATACAGTACCGTACGCAGGAGTGCGGGCGTGTTGCCTACTGGCTGAGCGTAAGGCGCCGCCATGGTCAGGGGTGATAGGCAAACCCGCTTGCCTATCGCCCCTGAATATGGCGCGGCGGCGGCGCCGCCTTACGCGCAGCCAGTAGGCAACACGCCCGCACTCCTGCGTACGGTGCTGTATAACTACAGAAGTCCGCGGGGTTAATCAGCCGCCTGGTATTCAATGTTTATAGGAATCCAATCTGACATTTTGACAAGCAACAATAAAGAAAATCAGCGAAATGAATTTTCACTATTCATAGAATTGATAATATTCGAAGGTGCCCAACTGTGGGTGTTTCATAAAAGACAGAGGTGCGGGCGGGTTGCCTACCCGCTCTGCCCGTAATTCGCAGCCCCTTGGGTTGGCAAACCCGCGCGTACCTGTCTTTTATGAAACAAACGGTGCACAATCACGGGTAATCTAAACACTCGTGAGGGTCCTTTCATATGAAGGACACATTTGTTGATTGGAGGCTTGCTGCTTTTTTTTTTGCACATCTTGCTTGAATCACTTGAATGCAAACGCGTATGTTTGATATGGCGAATTTGCATCTCTCCCATGGACAAAAATATAATTTGTTCAATCATAGAATGCAAACTTGTAACTTGCATTATAAAGAATTAAGAATTACAGTACCTGAGGTGTGCACAAAAATGCATCTTTCTCGGGACAAAGAAAGGCCGTTTCGATTTAGAATGCAGGCAAATCAAATCATATCTAGTATTCATTGGTAATCTTTGGTAATCATTGGTAATCTTTACAATTTTATAATCCAGTGTACACATTTTTATAGAGTTAGGCACCCATCGATAACATCCCAGTGATATAAAAATTCACATCTACATCCGTTCTGACGTGAAAAATGTCATTTAAAGCAGAAAGAGATTTTTTCCTGGTTTCGTACACTGGTCCTCATCCTTGAAAGTTATCAAACCCCTCGTAACTTTCTGAAATTCGGGTAATTTTTAGATATTCAAATTGTTTGTGACTGTGTAGATATCGATGACCAGTGATGGCCAGGCTGGCCCGACCCGGTCCTTTGGTAGGTCAGGCGGACCTTTTCGTTTTCAATGAAAGGTGTGCTTTTTATGACTGCCATCTTTACCTTGACGCCGGTAGCCGTGGCCGTTATGAGATGCCTCACCCCTCATCGGTAGAGCCAAAGGCCGTGCTCTAGGACGGTCGGGCAAATATGTAGGTCAGGCAGGCAGGTCGGGCAGAGCGGCGCGGCGGGGGTGGAGGAGCCATGGAGGACCGCTGCGAAAACTAATGGATCAATGGACCGTGGACCGTTCTCGAGTGCGCCGTGCGACAAGGAGGGGGCCGGGGCGGAGCAGAGCTTTAGCATCGGCTTTAGCGGGGCCAGTGTTGCCAACTAGGTAGGCAATAAATTCCCACGAATACAGGTGTGCAGCGGGCTGCACCCACGCCTGTCTAATAGGCAACCCCCTACGTTCGAGTTCGAGTGAACTTGTTGCCTTTAGTGGGTAGGCCGTCCCATGCATGTGTATGCTGTGAACTTTTTTGCCTACCTAGTTTGCGATGCTGGCGGGGTCGGAGCAGGGCCAGGTGCAAGCCCCTCTCTCTACGCGGCGTCCTAACGCGAGCGAATTGTGTGCTTCCAGGTGGCCAAGGGACCGGCCAGGTTCGAGCCGGGCATGACTCACCATACGGACGCGGTCAGCACGCACACGGGGGAGGACGCCCTCCTCAGGACCCTGGCACCCATGGACCGCGGCCAGCTATACGGTACGTCCACAAATCTGTGCTCTGCACGGCAAAAATTCATATGAAAAAAACAACTGTTTGAGCTGATCAATGTTGTTTCAACTGCGTATCCAGACCTGGCTGAGCTGCTGCTCTCCGAGCTCATTCCCGGATGGGACGAGGAGGACCAGGACTTCGAGGAGGACACCGATGACGATGTCGACTTCGGGGACATGGAGGACAGCGGCCACTCCAACGTGGGCGCCGTGGACGTGGTGGTGGACGCCAGCTACCGAGCCTGCATCGAGGAGGCCGAGCGCTACCTGGTGCAGTGCGAGGGCTTCGATGCCGAGGGCAGCGTCGTGGCGGGCATGCGGCAGCACCTGCACCTGGCGAGGGTCAGCGCAGCTGCGACCGGCCCGCCGCGAGTCGTCGCGCACCGGCCACCCGGCTACCCCTAGCACCTGCAGGTGTCTCAGGTGTGTCCGCGACACCTCCGCATCGACAACAGCCGCGCCCTGCTGCCTGCATCGTCCTGGGTATAGCTGCCCTCCAACACAATTGCAGCTGTTCTCGTCAGCAGCCTGTCACAGCTGCAGCTGCGCCAGGCACGCTGCCGTGCTACGTCCGCTAACTGCGCTGCGGATCGCATCACGCCAGCTGAGGCAGCTGCGTCAGCGAGCCGTCCGGCCACACTACATTGCAGCCCTCTTGTCTTCCATACACTCCCTTTGCTTTCGATTGAAGGGAAAACTTCCACTTTCTTTGTGCTTCTAGTCAATAGATAAGGACTAAGAATAATGTTTGTGATATTAGGCTTAAGACCGTTGTGTTGTTGTATTTATCGAGTACAAGTTTTGCTCTAAATACTTGATCTGTGTAACTACCAAAAATTTATAATAAAACACACAAATTTTCAATAATTGACCGTACTCATTCCTGTTCTTACTTGGTGCGCCTTTCTACAGAAAATAAGAATGCATAAAACTATAGTTGACTAAATGTATCACAAACAACTCACGCTTTGCGTTTAAAAAATGACACATATTTGAGTAAAGTATTATTAATTTCAGATGTGTACAGAGTATAATGTATCATCTGCTAAAAACTGGGTTGCAAGATATTTATTTCGTTGCATCTTGTACTGTACTATTGTACTATGGCAAACATTCAGCCCAGAAGCCGGCGGACAGGAGAGCGGCACTGTGCACCGTGTAAGATGTAAACCGTAATAGCCGGAACAAGAGAGGTTTGCGTGCTCGCATTCGCGAGTGCGTGAGTGTGTGGGGGGAGGAGGAGGGATCGCCGGAGCGGTCCGCACACGAGCCAATAGATTCTATCGGGTTGCTGACCCAGTTCCTCTGCTTTGTTTCGTGTCCTCCGACTGGAGTACTTACGCTACACACGAGGAGAGGAGCGGTACAAAGGATATTGACGCGACATGTCGCCCCCCAAAAAGAAACACAGCCAGGATGAATGGATGAATTTATGTTCAAAATGATTAAAAACAGGTCACATTTTCAATGATTACGTCGGGACCAACGAAAATGTTCAGCGCATGTGTGCTGTGTGCTGGCACGTAACGTCACCCGTCATTCGGGACGCACACATCCTCTATTGTGATCGATGCGCAGATGGGGAAAAAAGAAGCCATAACGGATCGGCCAATAACGGCCAAAGAAAAATGTAGGTTTATAGGCCACGTGCTGATGATGTTTTTTGCTGTCTGCAATATTATTGTGTGGTGTTGTAGGCTAAATTCACCCCCACCCGCAAAACCCTCTCTATAAAAAAACAAAAATAATATGGAAAAAACACGAAACAGTTACTTTCCTACTGCAGATGGATACCTAAGTCGTCCAAGCCACCCTACTTTATTCACTTTCACAGAAAATATTTAATAGTAATGAATGCAATAAAACACTAAGATGTATTCCAAATGGTGTTCAATTACCACACCTCCTGAATGATTATACCGCACCACGCCCACCCTCCTCACTACGCCGGCCTAAAGAGGGCCGTTTCGTCTCCGTAACAGTAG